TACTCTTTTTGATCAAGCCCTAATTGATTCCTAATAGATAATTCTACGTTACAGACTTGAGGAGAAAAAAATAAAAGTATATGGGTACTAAAATGGTCTTTGTTGTGAGGCCAGTCATGTGTAATACATGACCATTTAGCAAAATCTCTGGCCTCTCCCAAGTGAAGCCAGCATCATTCTCTTATGGTGTCAGCTAAAGATGTCTCCAGATTTTTGTCATCCCATGGTGAGAACCTCTGGCATAGGATAACCATCTACTAAGGAAGAAGCTCAGCCCTGGACATAGTTGGACATACACTGGAATTAACGATACTAATCTTTTAAGTATTGTAATACAATAATGGGATCACAATCAAACAGCATAATAAGGAGCAAACCAGGACACCTGCTTTCAATTCTTTCAGTGAAATTTAATTTATATGCAATCAAGTCTCATAAGCATATATAACCTCCATAAAAACTACATGTTTGTAAGTTAGATAAATTCCATTAGTATGTGGTAAGCACTTACTGTGCATCTGGACCTATGAAATGAATATTCTACACTGCTATTCTCTACAAGATTGCAGAGAAACTGTCTTGATTAATCCTTATAAAAGCAAAGGTAGACTGGGCGGTGGTGGCGCACGCCTTTAATCCCAGCACTCGGGAGGCAGAGCCAGGCGGATCTCTGTGAGTTCGAGGCCAGCCTGGGCTACCAAGTGAGTTCCAGGAAAGGCGCAAAGCTACACAGAGAAACCCTGTCTCGAAAAACCCAAAAAAAAAAAAAAAAAAAAAAAAAAAAGCAAAGGTAATTATTTTCATCTTATAATAAACCACAGTTTTCTCAGTACAGTTCAATTTAGTTGATTTCACATGAGGAATATATGACAGAATGGTAAATGTACATCTTCAATATGAACTAAATATTTTGGTAATTCATGGTCACCATTTATGCTCCATTCACCATTTATACTGTTTAAAAACTAGTCATTAGTGAATGCAAGCATATTAATAGAGACCCCCAAACAAACAAAAAACCCAGGATGGTTCTTCTAATTCAGTCATCTACCCAAAGAATACCTTCTGAAAAGAGTCTTCATCCGTTATATCATAAACTAAAATAGCTCCGTTTGAATCTCGGTAGTAAATTGGACCCAATGCATGGAATCTCTCTTGACCTGCTGTATCCTAAAGAAGAACAAATGCTTATCAGATCAAAGGAAAAAGATATGGCTGCTATTTTAACTACAGTGAACTTTAATTAATTGGAAAGCAGGGCATATACCCACAGATAACTCCAAAAACAGTATTAAAAGTAACAAAACAAGTTACAGAAAAACCAAGTGTTCCTGTGATGCTTTACTGTTGTACTCTTCCTCCTGAGATCTCCCATCCCCATTAAAGATCAGCTCAGTTGCTATTAAGGCAGTGGGAACAGTTCCTGCCCTAACCTGAGTATGTTCACAATGCAGAAGGAACAGAAGAGGGCACATATCAGGACTCCTGTACATGCCTGGTCTCCTCCAGGAAAGAGGCTACAGCCAGACTGCCCCATCAACCCTGTCCCTTCTGCAACTGAAAAAAGTATAACAGCAATATTTAGCTAGAAAGCTGTATTCCAAATTATTAATTAGATCTTTAGGAAGGTTTTAATTAAGAAAATGGCTTTTGCTAACTAGTTAATTTATTTATGATGTCAATGGCAGCAGGAGCAGCAGGTGGGAATGTGAAGTTCAAGGTGTCAGCCCACCAAGAGGAAACTCCCTGATGGGTGAATGAATCTCTGTTAGGTAAGGCCCTGAGACCATAGACTCCAGAATGTCTTTTGCTTCTGATGTGACTTTAGTTTGCTGCTGTCATCTTTCTCTGGTATCTGGCATGATGTGAATGGATGTGGGGAGATCGCCACTGCCTGTAATGTAGTGTGTTTATCTCATGGAGACATCCTGACTACTGGGCATTATCATTACCTGTGGATTATTATGAAGATGATTCCTCCCTAAATTTTACTGTCTAACTGATAATAATAATGTTTGCCTATACAGAGTTTTGATGAATAAAAATAAATACAAGGAAATGTTACATAGTTAGGGCCTATGGGTTTCACCTAAGGAGCTGCATTAGATCACAGCTCAGGTTAATGATTAAGAAAAACAATTGAGTCTCAAAAGCCAGGCTGGCTCTCAGATTTCTTTAATCTTAATGCAGTCACAGGTTTCAGTGTGCATCATTAGCTGAAACAAAGCTTTAAAAAACTTCAGGTTAGATCAGATGCTTTGATAATACCTTTAAAATGAAAAACCCCAGAAAACAACCTAAAGCTCACAAGGACACATAGCCAAGGTCAAAAGTATGAAGCAGCCCAACAGTTACTAGCTGACATACTTTCTTGCTAGGGTTGGTTGATGATCAAAGGTGATGATTAATTCCTTGTACCCATTCCTGCTCTCAATTGCCTGATATAAGAAACTACTGAAGAGTAGGTATACACCCTAAAGATTTAAAGTACAGCTGACTGATTGTTTTTATGTATAAAAAGTTTAGGTTTGTGATTCCTTTAAGCTTCCTTATAAGATTACCTTTCAAGTTAAATAATAAAATGATTCTTTCTTTGTAACTGCAATATGCAGCCTGCCAACAAAAGAGGTGGCTCGGAAAAAATACTTTCTGCTTGCTCACGTTCTGTTAATCTGTAACAAGTTACTTAGATGTAAATAAATGTATGTGGGTTATCAGGGTGCCTTTGTTTTTAATGACATAATGGAGATAACAAAAAAAAAATGTTTTTACCTGTACTCATTATAATCATCCATTTGAAAAATAGAATGTTTTTCATTGCATTGCAAATCCTATATTGCCTGAAAAATTTTGTTGGGGTATGTAAGCTGTAGAAAAAAAAGTTTACAGTAAAAAAAAACAAAACAAAAAAACAGAAAGAATACAGAAGAATAAAAAGTAAAGAATAAAGAAGGAAACCATCAAGAGAGAGTGTGAGTGTCTTTTTCCCTAACCCTTCAGATAGAAAAGTCTAGTACACATTGACTCTGTGCTGCTGGAGGCTGGCCCACAAGACAGCAATAACTTTTAAAAAACAAATTCTGAAGTCCAAATTCCTGTTCCTCTAGTCAGTTAATTCTGCAGCCAGGCACAGTGGTGCACACTTTTAATCCCAGCACTCGGGAGGCAGAGGCAGGTAGATTTCTGTGAGTTCGAGGCCAGCTTGGTCTACAGAGTGAATTCAGGACAGCCAGAGCTGCACAGTGAGACCCTGTATCCAAACAAACAAACAAACAAACAAACAAACAAACAAAACATTTCTGAATACTTACCCATATGGCGAGGTTTACTCTTTTCCCACCAATATTTAACTTCTTTGTTAAGAAAGATGCCTAAAATAAGAGAAGTACATGTTAAATAGTGCTTCATATAAAATAATGCCCCTCACTCTAACCACACATGAATGAAAGAATCATCTTCATGTTAAAGTTAGGTTGTCTGAAAAAAAAAGACAATTTCTGAATATTTAATTTATGGCCAACTATTATTGTTGTTAAAGACAAAATATTATTCATATTCTAAGAAAAACATATCTTGTTTTATGAACACAAATTATTAAAACTGTAAGAGACCACAAGAAACGCTGAGGATGCAGCCTGGTGACAGATGAACAGTAAGAATCACCGGGAGACAGCTCAGCAGGTAAAGCACTTCTCATGCAAATGTGAGAACCTGGCATGACTGGATTCTCCTTCCCAGAACCCACTTAACCACCTGCACAAGCAGCAGCATGCAGATCTACAATCAAGGCACCACTGAGGTAAGACGGGCCGCACCAACAGGAAAAGCCCAGCCTCTCTGTGTGGCTGGTCTGGCCTGCACAGTAAATACTGACAAATACGATTTCAAAATGAGGTGAAGTCAAGGACTGACAAGTTTGTCTACGCTTGTCCTCTGACTTCCACACATACATTGCGCTACACACACATGCATGCACACAACAAACACATATTCTAAAAAAAAAATTGAAATAGCATCTCGCTGGATAGCCTTAGCTGACCTAAAACTCATTATGTGGACCAGGCTAGCCTTTAACTCACAGAGATCTTCCTGCTTCTCCCTCCCAAGTGCTGGAATTTAAGGCATATACCACCATACCCAGACACACACACACATTTTACAAAATAATAAAACACCCATAAACACACTAAATGAAAATGGTGCCTGCTTTCCCTCACGCTTTTTCCTCTCTATATATGCAACAAATTTTTCCTAGAACATTAAATTTAATGCAGTCTTCCTTATTTACTGATTAAAAAGAGTATCTAGAAAATTTCTGAGATACTCAACATTGCTCAACATGGTTCTGTGCCTATAATTCAACTGTTTAACATGCATCTCTGTCACAGAAATGAAAGCCCCAAGCTTTCCAGGGGAGCTTAGTCTACTAGGGAATGAATGTACAGAGCATACAGTTTTTGTCATACTGACTGAAACAGAGGATCCTGTCAAATACACTCTAAGGGGCATGCTGAGAAAGGAGGTTCAGTGCTTGCCTGGAAGAGTTAAGGTAATGAATGATCATTCCATTAGGTGTAGTTGGAATTTTTCCTAACCATAAACAAAGCCACTGAAACCTAAAACAAATGAAGTCACCCTCGGGAGAGCTTCAAGTTGGTATGGTTAATGTCAGAGTGTGACCACATACATGAACAAGGGCTAAGTCAAAAGACCCTAGGCTCATGGCTCAGAGCAGTCTCAGCAAATCAGAGTAACAAAGGACAACCTGATTCAATCCCCAAGACTACATGTTAGTTTTTTTTTAAGATCCTATGAAGGAGCTGGAGAGATGGCTAGTGGTTCTTGCAGAGGACCTGGGTTCAATTCCCAGCATCCACATGGTAGCTTAAAATCATCTGTGACTCCCATTCTAAGGGATATGACACCCTCTTTCGACCTCCATGGGCACCAGGATTGCATGTGGTACATACATATACCTATGAGTAAAACACCCATAGACATAAATAAATCTAAAAAACAAAAAAAGAAAACCTTTTTAAATACCCCGAGTATGAACTTTACCTAGTAAACCTTCCTTTTTCTCTTTGGAGACAAAGGCTCACATATTCCAAGCTGGCCTCAAACTCACTATTGTAGACAAGGATGACCCTAAACTCCTGATCCTCCCGCCTCTATCCCCCATGTGTTGAGATTACACATGTATGCAACAATCACCCTGGCTTACACAGTGCTGATTATCAAACCTCAGGTGTCAAGCACTCTACCAAATGAACCACATCCTAACTCCCCTATTGATCTTAATAAAACCTGTCCCCAAAATACTGGACCCCCCCCCCAAAAACACACGTCAGGTACATTTGGAAAATGGTATATAATGCTTTCTGAATAGTCAAATATACACAAGCATATTACAATTCTGTCAAAAGGAAGGCTGGCTGGCTGCATTCACATAGCATTCCCCTGTATCAACTGCCTTCTCTCACTCGAGTTTCTTCTATGGAGAACTAAACTAAACCTAGGAAGTATCTACCGATCCTAAGAAGCACCTGTTAAGACAGAGTCCCAAGCGCATGGAGAACCACTGAAGAATGTAAGACCTGGGAAACACGTTTATCTTTCCAGAGAATGACTGTGGGGTTGGGGGTTGCATTAAGGACGGGACCAGACTGGAAAACAGAACTCTACTATAGAGTCAAAGACAAAACCACGCAGAGCTCAGACAACGAAGGTGACACAGGTCAGAATCAAGAAGAAATGACCACAACGGATAAATAGGAGCACGGGCCTGTAACCTTGGTTCCTGACAAGGCTGAGGCAAGTCAGCCTGGCTACACAGTGAGAGCCTGTCTCAAATAGAACAACTTATCAAACAGGAACTATACCCAGAGTCCAATTTAAATGTCTTTAAAAGGAAGAGACCGGCATTCAGAGCTGTGGCAAAGCAATCACATGCAAGTTTATCTAGAGAGGAAAATGCAGAAGGCCAAACAGGAGCACAGCAAATTTCTGGCAAGGAGAAGAAACGTGTATTCCAAGTGTGCTGTGGCACACCAAGGAAGACCGGAACCCAGAAGAGCCTTTGAATTCAGTGACTGGTGTGTCCATAGATAGGACAAATGGCAGAGCTGAGGTAAACAGGAATAGCTGCCTCCAAGAGACAAGCTACAGTATTGCAGATAGTTTAAGTGAAACAGATTATACTGAGAAGGATAAAAAAAAGAAAAAAGAAAAAAAAAAACCTTAAATGGCAAAATAGCAAAACTTGGAACATGAGAAGACCATAAGTTAAAATAAAACAAATAAAAGATTTCTCCCATTTTGTAGTAGAGAAGCTAAGAAAATGACTTTTTGGAATCTCACTTTGCTCCTTACTCGCGATATAATTCACTTGAATTCAATCCTTCCCAATATGGTTTAAATATCAGTGCCTTGTAGAAGAAATGTCAACTCTGAATTCTAGACAAATTCTGTTATTCTTTTTCAAATATATCTAAAACTAAATTAATTGATCTTCCCTGCAAACCTGGCTTTCCAACTTCAATATTTTGATCACATTTTCCAAGTCACTAAGGCTAATCCCCCAGCCCCCAGTCCTGGTACACATGTGTGCATGTGTACACGTGTGTGCACGAGTGTACATGTCTGAAGATAGGGTCTTACTCTACTGCACAGGTTGGTACTGATTTCTGACATCATCCTTAATCCTGAGTTCTGACATTATCTGCTCCTCAGTTTCCTTAGAGGCAGTGACTACAAGCGCACACCACTGTGCCCAGCTATCTCTAAGGTTTAGAATCTTAAAATCATCTTCCTTCCAGTCAATATCCCTCCCCCAAACTTCCCAAGTCTAGTCTTCCTATTTTCTGTGGAGTTCTGACACCTTGGCCTCATAGCAAGTCCTTTGGTCTCCCCTTATAAACTGACACTGCCCTGCATGTAAAATTATCTTCCCCACGTCTCCATATATGATTCACGTATTTCTCAGTGGATTCCTCTATTCTGTACTTTTTGGGAACCTAAGTTGTGGCAAGTGGAATAGAGTGTCTTGCACCACAACTTATCTCTTTATGATATAAGAGTTCTACTAGCTAGGTTACATCCTTTATTCAGTGTAGCTGGAGAGTTTTTTCTCCGGGTCCCACCAAGCTCCAGCAGTCTGACAGCCCACTTATAAAATAAACACACAGACGCTTATACTATTTACAAACTGTATGGCCTAATGGCTCAGGCTTCTAGCTATCTAGTTCTTACATCTTAAATTAACCCATTTCTATAAATCTATACCTTGCCACGCGGCTCGTGGCTTACCGGCATCTTTACATGCTGCTTGTCATTGTGGCTGCTGGCAGTGTCTCCCTGACTCAGCCTTCCACTTCCCGGAATTCTCCTCTCTCCTTGTCCCGCCTACTTCCTGCCTGGCTACTGGTCAATCAGTGTTTTATTTATACAGAATGATATCCACAGCAATTCAGTCTTTTTAGACTAAAATAAAATAGGCAACATTTTAATAGCTCTCCAAATTATTACCTTACTTAATTTTCAAAACACGCCGTGAGTCATAGATAATTACTACCCAAATATTACAGGCATGGAAATTAAGACTTAAGGAGAGTGTCTTGCCCAAGGTCACACAACAAGTACCAAGTAGGAGCTATAGTCCGGAAGTCTTACAACCACCGGACCGTGGTACCTCCTGGGCTGCCATCTGAACTGACACTGCTCCAGTACAAGGGTTAGAGGGAGACATCTAACCAACCCCTGCTCCTAACAAACACTCGGGGAGATGAACACCTCCGCAAACATGCCCAGAAAACTGGAGGAGCTAGACCACAATATGTGCAAGAAATGTGTTCCTAAAAGTTTCTTTATAAACTAAAATTTAAAGTGTTTTTTTTTTTTTTAATTTAAAACTTTTGGTTATTTTTGTATTTTTTTGAGACAGTTTCTCTGTGTGGCTTGGATGTCCTGGAACTTGCTCTGTAACCCAGGCTGGCCTCAAACTCACAGAGATCTGCCTGCCTCTGCCTCCCAAGTGCTGGGATTAAGGCATGGACCACCATGCCTAGCAAATTTAAAAGTTTTTTTGTAATTTATTTTTACTGTGTGTATACATGATATGTGTGGGGGCCGGCATGCCAGGCCTCAGTACCTTTAAATGGTCCTCCTATAAAGGCCTCACAGGTTCTCGGGATCAAATTCAGGTTGCCAGGCTTGGATAGCAAGTGCCTTTAGCTGCTGAGTCACCTCACCGACCCATGAACTAAATTATCTTACTCCAAATAGGAGATGCACTTGTAAAGCATATTACCAAAGTAACCTTTTTCCCTTCGAGTTAGCCCTCATTTGTGGAAAAATTCCTTCTGTAATATAA